GAAATGCTACAAGCCAGAAGAGAGTGGGGGCCAATATTCAACATTCTTAAAGAAAAGAATCTTCAACACAGAATTTCATATCCAGCCAAACTAAGATTCATAAATGAAGGAGAAATAAAATCCTTGACAAGCAAATGCTGAGAGATTTTGTCACCACCAGGACTGCCTTACAAGAGCTCCTGAAGGAATCACTAAACATGGAAAGGAACAACTGGTACCAGCCACTGCAAAAACATGTCAAATTGTAAAGACCATCGATGCTAGGAAGAAACTGCACCAATTAACCAGCAAAATAATCAGCTAACATCATAATGACAGGATCAAATTCACACATAACAATATTGACCTTAAATGAAAATGGGCTAAATGCTCCAGTTAAAAGACACAGACCGGCAAATTGGAAAAAGAGTCAAGACCCAACAGTGTGCTATATTCAGGAGACCACATAGGCTCAAAACAAAGGGATGGAGGAAGATCTACCATACAAATGGAAAAAAAAAAAAAAAAAAAAAAAGCAGGGGTTGCAATCCTAGTCTCTGATAAAACAGACTTTAAACCAACAAAGATCAAAAGAGACAAAGAAGGCCATTACATAATGGTAAAGTGATCAATTCAACAAGAAGAGCTAACTATCCTAAATATATATGCACCCAATACAGGAGCACCAAGATTCATAAAGCAAGTCCTTAGAGACCTACAAAGAGACTTAGACTTCTGCATAATAATAATGGGAGAATTCAACACTCCACTGTCAACATTAGAAAGATCAACGAGACAGAAAGTTAACAAGGATATCCAGGAATTGAACTCAGCTCTGCACCAAGTGGACCTAACAGACATCTACAGAACTCTCCACCCCAAATCAACAGAATAAACATTCTTCTCAGCACCACATCACACTTACTTCAAAATTGACCACATAGTTCGAAGTAAAGCACTCCTCACCAAATGTAAAAGAACAGAAATTATAACAAACTGTCTCTCAGACCACAGTGCAATCAAACTGGAACTCAGGATTAAGAAACTCACTCAGAACTGCTCAACTACACGGAAACTGAACAACCTGCTCCTGAATGACTACTGGGTACATAACGAATTGAAGGCAGACATAAAGGTATTCTTTGAAACCAGTGAGAACAAAGACACAACATACCAGAATCTCTGGGACACATTTAAAGCAGTGTGTAGAGGGAAATTTATAGCACTAAATGCCCATAAGGAAAGATCTAAAATTGACACCCTAACATCACAATTAAAAGAACCAGAGAAGCAAGAACAAACACATTCAAAAGCTAGCAAAAGGCAAGACATATCTAAGATCAGAGGAGAACTGAAGGAGAAGGAGACACAAAAAACTCTTCAAAAAATCAATGAATCTAGGGGCTGGTTTTTTGAAAACATCAACAAAATTCATAGACTGCTAGCAACACTAATAAAGAATAAAAGAGAAAAGAATCAAATAGATGCAATAAAAAAATGATAAAGGGAATATTACCAACAATCCCACAGATACAAACTACCATCAGAGAATACTATAAACACCTCTATGGAAATAAACTAGAAAATCTAGAAGAAATGGATAAATTCCTGGTCACATACACCCTCTGAAGACTAAACAAGGAGGAAGTTGAATCCCTGAATAGACCAATAACAGGCTCTGAAGGCAATAATTAATAGCTCACCAACCAAAAAAAGTCCAGGACCAGACAGATTCACAGGCTAATTCTACCAGAGGTACAAAGAGGACCTGGTATCATTCCTTCTGAAACTATTGTAATCAATGGAAAAAGAGGGAATCCTCCGTAACTCATTTTATGAGGCCAGCATCATCCTGATACCAAAGCCTGGCAGAGACACAACGAAAAAAGAGAAGTTTAGACCAATATCCCTGATGAACATCAATGCAAAATCCTCAGTAAAATACTGGCAAACCGAATCTAGCAGCACATCAAAAAGCTTATCCATCATGATCAAGTTGGCTTCATCCCTGGGATGCAAGGCTGGATCAACTTACGCAAATCAATAAACAGAAACCATCATATAAACAGAACCAAAGACAAAAACCACATGATTATCTCAATAGATGCAGAAAAGGCCTTCGACAAAATTCAACAGCATTTCATGCTAAAAACTCTCAATAAACTAGGTACTGATGGGATGTATCTCAAAATACTAAGAGCTATACATGACAAATCCACAGCCAATATCATACCAAATGGGCAAAAATTGGAAGCATTCTCTTTGAAAACTGGCACAAGACAGGGATGTCCTTTCTCACCACTCCTATTCAACATAGTGTTGGAAGTTCTGGTCAGGGCACTCAGGTAGGAGAAAGAAATAAAGTGTATTCAATTAGGAAAAGAGGAAGTCCAATTGTCCCTGTTTGCAGATGACATGATTGTATATTTAGAAAACCTCATCTTCTCAGCCCAAAGTCTCCTTAAGCTGATAAGCAACTTCAGCAAAGTCTCAGGATACAAAATCAATGTGCAAAAATCACAAGCATTCCTATACACCAATAACAGACAGACAGCGAAATCATGAGTGAACTCCCATTCACAATGGCTTCAAAGAGAATAAAATACCTAGGAATCCAACTTACAAGGAATGTGAAGGACCTCTTCAGGAGAACTACAAACCATTGCTCAACGAAATAAAAGAGGACACAAACAAATGGAAGAACATTCCATGTTCGTGGATAGGAAGAATCAAGATTGCGAAAATGGCTATACTGCCGAAGGTAATTTACAGATTCAGTGCCATCCCCATCAAGCTACCAATGACTTTCTTCACAGAATTGGAAAAAAAACTACTTTAAAGTTCACATGGAACCAAAAAAGATCCAACTTTGCCAAGAAAATCCTAAGCCAAAAGAACAAAGTTGGAGGTATCACGCTACCTGACTTCAAACTATATAACAAGGCTACAGTAACCAAAACAGCATGGTACTGCCACCAAAGCAGATATATAGACCAATGGAACAGAACAGAGCCCTCAGAAATAATAGCACACATCCACCCCTATCTGATCTTTGACAAACCTGACAAAAACAAGAAATGGTGAAAGGATTCCCTATTTAATAAATGGTATTGGGAAAACTGGCTAGCCATATGTAGAAAGCTGAAACTGGATCCCTTCCTTACACCTTATACAAAAATTAATTCAAGATGGATTAAAGACTTAAATGTTAGACCTAAAACCATAAAAACCCTAGAAGAAAACCTAGGCAATACTATACATAGGCATGGGCAAGGACTTCATGACTAAATCACCAAAAGCAATGGCAACGAAAGTCAAAATTGACAAATGGGATCTAATTAAACTAAAGAGCTTCTGCACAATAAAAGAAACTACCATCAGAGTGAACAGGCAGTCTACAGAATAGGAGAAAATTTTTATAATCTACCCATCTGACAAAGGGCTAATATCCAGAATCTACAAAGAACTTAAACAAATTTACAAGAAAAAATCAAACACCCCCATCAAAAAGTGGGCAAAGGCTATGAACAGACACTTCTCAAAAGAAGACATTTATGCAGCCAACAGACACATGAAAAAATGCTCATCATCATTGGCCATCAGAGAAACGCAAATCAAAACCACAATGAGATACCATCTCACACCAGTTAGAATGGCGATCATTGAAAAGTCAGGAAACAACAGGTGCTGGAGAGGATGTGGAGAAATAGGAACACTTTTTTACTGCTGGTGGGACTGTAAACTAGTTCAACCATTGTGGAAGACTGCGATTCCTCAAGGATCTAGAACTAGAAATACCATTTGACCTAGTCATCCCATTACTAGGTATATACCCAAAGGATTATAAATCATGCGGCTATAAAGACACATGCACATGTATGTGTATTGTGGCACTATTCACAATAGTAAAGACTTGGAATCAACCCGAATGTCCATCAATGATAGACTGGATTAAGAAAATGTGGCACATATATACCACGGAATACTATGCAGCCATAAAAAAGGATGAGTTCATGTCCTTTGTTGGGACATGGATGAAGTTGGACACCATCATTCTGAGCAAACTGTCACAAGGACAGAAAACCAAACACCACATGTTCTCACTCATAGGTGGGAACTGAACAATGAGAACACTTGGACACACGGTGGGGAACATAACACACCAGGGCCTGTCATGGGGTGGGGGTAGAGGGGAGGAATACCATTAGGAGATATACCTAATGTAAATGACAAGTTGATGGGTGCAGCACACCAACATGGCACATATATACTTATGTAACAAACCTGCACATTGTGCACATGTGCACATGTACCCTAGAACTTTTTTATTTTATTAATAAAAAAGTAGATTTTAATTAAAAATTTTATTGTAAAATAAATACTAACAATAAAAAAATTATTGAAGTCTATATTGCGTATCAATAATAATAAGAGTTTTCTCCTATGATTTGTCAAACAAAAAGATGAGTGTAAACATCTGAAGAATCTTAAGGTCGAGATTTGAAATTCAGTGTCATTGAAATAATGACCCTCATAATCTTTTCTTGCGATATTTTTACAATGGCTGCTTGACAAAGAAAAACAAAGGAGAAAAAGACACAACAAACACCCTGAAAACAAACAATTCATGTTTTTACTCCTAACCCACTGAGAAATTTTGAGTTAAAAAATCTAGCTGTCACACATATCATCACTATAATTAGACTCTTCTGTGCACAACAGCAAATTGTCTTAGACAATTAAAAATACAATGTATTAGATTTATGGCCTGTGTTTACTTTTACTCTCTTCTGACTCGCATGAATTTTGTGATGAAGAAATAATGGAAAAATGATTCATTAAGATATATAGATTTTCTAATCCATATGTATTATTGCATCTTCATTTGTAATTTGAAGCAGATTTTTAAAAAATCACTTGTTTTACAGAATCATTTTAGTTCTCAGTTTAAAACATCTTCATTTTCTTCATTCATTTTCATAAGAAATAGTAGTAAGATCTTAATGTGATGTGCACTGTACCTTTAAATGGTTGTTTGCAACAGCATCATGTAAGGGCAGAGTTCCATCTATATTTGCACAATTAATCTTAGCACCAGCTTTTAATAACTCTACAATTATATCAATAGATCCTTCATTAGATGCCTCATGAAGTGGTGTCCAACCTAAAAAAAGAGAAAGAAAAATAAATCCTGCTTCATGCAAATCAATACTCATGTAATATCTGTATTACTAAGGTTTTGTTGCATAAATGGAATACCATATTGATTCATATACATATAATAAGTATTGAACAAGAAATAATACTAAAAAGTATGGGCTCAAAATTTATGCTTCATTTTTGAAAACAAATTGATGTCATCACAAACATTTGTTGATATAAGTGCCAAAGCAAAAGACTCACAGAATGCAAAACATAATGAGAGTAAATACTATTCATTTTGATTTGTTTCAATTCAGATATTAAAACGTCTGACTTTCCCATGTGTATCTTTGCATTGTCACATTTCTCTTTAAAATGACACCTGGTTTAATCAACCTTTGAGTTTTTCCCTGTGGAATTCTTCAGATAAGATTCTTTTGTGCTTAAGCAAAACGTTGGGTAAATTTTTCAGAGTTTTAGAATAAAAATAAAGAGAGAAAAAAGGAACAGTACAAAAGGAGGAGAAAAGAGAATGGATAGGAGAATGAGAAAACTCTGCATTCTGACCAAAGTTGCAGGATAAACTTGAGGCTTCCAAGGAAAAGGCCTAACTTCCTTTATTCCCCATTCTGTTTACCCTCTCTGATGCTCCCAAATGGATGTTAAAAACTGTTTCAAAGGAAAAGGGTCTATTAACAATGATAAATCTTAGTATTCAACTAAACACTAATATAATATAAAAAATATTGTTCAAAGTTATCACTTACATATCAGCCAGGAACAAACTGGAGGGAGCAGGAGGTGTTGAAATGTGTATTTCAGTGAGTTCCAATTATTAAGGTAATTAAATTAAAAGGATCCAAACCTGCATTATCGTTTAGATTCACATCTGCTCCAGATTCTATCAGGGCTTTCACTAGGGAGAGATTTCCTTTTCTGGCAGCTAAATGAAGCCGGCTTTCCCCTCTGGCATTCCTCTTGTTGATCCCACCTGTTTTCATTCCTGTAAATTTGCCAAACAAGAGGTTTATTTTCTGCCAAGTGCTGATTGTTATAAAGGATCTTAGAAAATACATAACAACTTCCTCAAAATATCACACTACACAGAAACTTATACCAATTAATGTTATCATTGCTGTTACTGTTTTAATATATAATTTGTGAAGACATAATAGAACATCTAAGCACATTACTTTGTATTCATTCTAGCAGTTGGTTAATCACTCTATCACTTGATCAAAACAAATTAACTTGCTTCAGTTCTATCTACACTCATCTCATTCTCAGTAGTCCTTTAACAATGATTATTTTTAAGATAAACTGAGATATTATAAAAAATCCTCTTTCTACAGCCATTCTGTATCTCAATGGGTGTATTCCTGATCACATAGGTGCCAAGTACCAAACTATGGACTATAGTTTTCTATTTTTCTTTCACAAAATGTGCTGTACAAGATCATTAACCAAAGATTTTGTTTTTTAAATCTCTTCCTTGAAATACAAGTTATACAGACCTAAGCTGGAACTAAAAGTAATGAACTGATCATGTTTTCCCCCTATTTCCTGCCAAAACCATGCTAAAATGACAGTAAAATAAAATTTAAAGTACCATATCAAAAAAAAAAAAAAAAAAGAGGAAACAATAAAGGACAAAGACTTCAACCAATTTGGGGGGATTAGAAAGTCACTGATGGAGAAGAGTGAACTGACTTGGCAGAGTGGGGAATGCTCCAACACAAGGGAATTGTAGAGAGAGAGCCTGAACTCAAGCCTGAACTCAGTCTGAACTCAAGCACTCCACACTTGGGCACATGAGGCACTACAGAAGGCAGGTGTATGGAACAGTGGGGGCAGGGGGTGGGCAGTTGGTTAATATCTTTTATATAAGATCTTTTACATAGAAAGGTTGGGACTCCAAGTTTCCTTCCCCAACCCTCAACTGACTAGCAACCACTCCTCTTATCCCAGATATCCAGCCCAAAGCCAGGAACCTGAAGGTTTGTTTTCTATAGACACTGCATCAGGGCCAGGCACAGTGGCTCATGTCTGTAATCCGAGCATTCTACTAAAAATACAAAAATTAGCCTGGCATGGTGGTGGATGCCTGTAATCACAGCTACTGTGGAGACTGAGGGAGGAGAATCACTAGAACCTGGGATGTGGAAGTTGCCCTGAACCAAGATTGAGCCACTGCACTCCAGCCTGGGAGACAGAGATAGAGTCCGTCTCAAAAAAAAAAAAAAGAGAAAGAAACAAAGAAACTGCATTAGAGAAGCTTCAGATTGAGATGCAAAGCAAAATAAATAGATACGGTGATGAAACAGAAAATATTTGTTAAATCAGTGGTATCAGCACCATGGAGGAAACTTGTTAGAAATGCAAATTCCCCAGTCTACTCCAAACTTACTTTGGAGGACAGACTAAAATGGCTCCTAATGATCCTCACCATCTGGTGTTTATGACTTTGTGTACTCTTCTTCTCTTGAATAGCTTGCTTCTAACCAATAGAATATTTCAACACTGAGGGTATTTCATTTAACTGATTAGGTTAAAAGAGATTGTAACATTTTCTGTCCTGCTAGCAGACTTGCTGTATTGCCTTCAGCTTGTATGCTTTGATGATGCAAGTAGCCATGTTGGAGAAGCCCACCCAGCAAGAAACTGAGGATGGCCACCAGCCAATCACCAGTGAGAACTGAGGCCCTCAGCCAACCATCCTCAAGAAATTGAATTCTGCCAACAATCACATGAGCTTGAAAGTGTATCCTTCCCTAGCAGAGCCTTCAGATGAGACCCCAGTCCTGGCCAACACTTTGCTGCCTATGAACAATCCTGTTAGAGGTCCCAACTAAGCCATGCCCGATTCCTGACCTACAGAAAGTATGAGATAGTAAGTGTGTAATAGAGACAACTAACACACCTACTGAATCAGATTCTTTGAGGGTAGGGCCCAGCAATCTGTGTTTTAACAAGCTTTTCAGGTAATTCTGATGCAAACTAAGGTTTGAGAACCACTGCATTAAACTTTGGGATAATCTTCTTGCTCTACTTCCTAAATGTATATGGTTTCAGGGCAAGAGATAAAAAGATTAGAGAACTGTTCTCTAAAAAATGGATTCTTGGGTTATATGAATCACAGGGAAGAATGACAGTCTCATTTATCTTTTCCACTGGCACCCAGACAAAAACATATTGCTCTTTAGAGATTAGCAATCCAAAATTCTTTATTGGAAGAATTAAAAACATATATATATATATATATGAGAGAATATATTTGAAAATTACATCTAAGACTGTGGGACTGCAGACTGCAAGTATGAATAGAAAAATCTCTCCCAGCTGGGCACAGTGCCTCACACTTGTAATCCTTGCACTTTGGGAGGCTGAGGCAGGAGGAGTTTGAGACTAGTCTGGGCAACATAGGGAGATCCCATTTCTTAAAAAAATTTTAAAAATTAGCTGGGTTTGGTGGCATGTAGTCCCAGCTACTGAGGGATGCTGGGGTGGGAGAAGCATGTGAGCCTGGGAGGTCAAGTTTGCAGTGAACTGTGATTGTGCCACTGCTGTCTAGCCTGCGTGACAGACAAGACCCTGTCTCAAACAACAACAACAACAACAACAACAATTCCCAAATAATTCTTACTGTGGATGGTATAAATTCTTGTTTCTGGTGTGTTTGCAGCAAAGAAGGTAGCCATGTAATACACATTTTGGAGGAAAAATTCAAAAACTTCTCAATGTTACTAACATCATAAGTTTGTACAGCATTGACTAAAAATTTAAAATAACAAAATCTGACAGAAATTCAAAAGGAATGCTAAACCTCTTCAAAAACTCCACTGTAGTTTGGAATCTGATATTACTATTAATAAGCATAATGCTATTAAATACTTAGATTTCTCTCCATTTTTATGTGACCAGTGTTTTCTTCTCGGAAGCTTTCAGGATCTTCTCTTTATTCCTGTTCTGAAATTTCAGTGAGGTGCCTTGTTCACTGTACAGACACTAAGTGGTACTTTCAATATGGAAATGCCTATCTCATTTCTTGTATTCTTTCTTTAATGATTTCTTCTACTGTTCACCCACTGTTATCCCTGGATTTCCTAGAGTGATCTTTAATTTTCTTATCTTTTCTCTCCTATTTTCAGCTTTTTATTTTTTTGTCCTTAGTAGACTTGTAAAGCTTTGCCTTGTAATCCTGCTACAGATATCTATATATTATCTATTTATTTATATTTCTGTTTTAAACAACTAAAAGCTCTATATTGTTCTCTTATTGTTCCCTCTTGTCTATAGCTTTTTGGAAAAAAAAAATGTAGATGTTTCTTGATTCTTGTATAGTTTCTGTTTCTTTTGGGTTCCTTTGGTCTGCTTAGTTTACTTTGATATCTTTCACATTGGTGTTTTCTGCAAATACTTGTCGATCTTTGACTATCTGTTCATTCATATTTTAGTGAGGAAAACTAAAATCCTAACTGGAACTCTGTGGAGTGTGAGGGGAATGTGGCAGAACTCGGACATAGTTGAATTCACTGTTGGGTGATCAGCAGGAGGTAAGCCTGCCATTGTTTTAGGGAATCCCAGATGCCACTATCTAAAATTCTTATCTCTGGAACAGTTCAATTCTCTGCTCAAGTGGCTTACAGTCTGGTGGAATAATAGACATCTTAAAAATTACATTTAAATATGATTAAGTGCTGCTAGAGAGGTGTGAAGTTTCCTGTGGTAGCTGTAACAAATTACCACAAACTGGGTGACTTAAAACAACAGAATGTGTTCTCTCATAATTTGGAAACCAGAAATCCAAAATCAAAGTGTCAATGGGGCTGTACTCCCTGTGGAAGCTCTAGGAAAGAATCTTGCTGTGCCTCTTCTAACTTCTGATGGCTGTCAGCATTCCTTGGCTTCCTTGGCTGTGGCTACATTGCTCCTTTGCCTTCATCTCATCATCCCTTCTGTATGTTTCAAATCTCCCTTTCTTTCTCTCATAAGGACACAGTAATTAGATTTAGGGCCCGCCTGGATAATCCAGGATGATCTCCTTATCTTAGGGTTCTTAACTTGAAGAAGGTAACAGTCATGCTTTTACTATATAAGGTAATAGTCGAAAACTACAGGGATTAGGATAGGGCATGTTTTGGGGGGCTAGCATTCAACCCACTATAGGAAGTATGTATAAGAAGGATTTCAGTTTACATGAGAGGGGGAAAATGAAAGAACATTCATAGAGAATGCCTAATTCAGTGTCCTTCCTACCTCTTGACAGTATGTAAATCAACAGTGAATAATGTTTAACCTGAAGTGGTCCAGCCTATTGTTTATGACAGAACTATCTCCAAGAACTATCAAAGGATGCTTAGCTTGTCCATACTGTGAAACATACACAGTTCATTCATCTGACATAAAACAAAATAATGGCTATGTTTCTTTAATTTCCCTTATGTTAAAAAGGCTGAATGGAAGTATCTAAAGAATCTGACACATTTCACGCCTGCTGTCCCCACTGAATATTCTTGCTGTCTGCAGTTTACCTTATCTCCTCTAATATGACAAATTAGAAGTCATAGACAGAAGTATGACATGAATATATTTAAAGATTATCGGATTCTCAAGTGGTGCCTTAACAACAAATATCGCTGAAATAGTCATATGTCAGTGAATAACTACAAAAAGAAACAATATATCTGAATGTTTAGAAATTCCTTGAAGTAGACTGAATTGCTGTGCTTGATTTTGTAAACTTTAACCTCTACAATTATAGGAATACAAAGGTTGCAGGTCGTTTTTAAGAAACTTTGTTTTTTTCCGAAATTCTGAACTGTTTTGTGTTCTTGGCTATTAGCAGGCATGTGCATTTCTGACTTCGTTTTTTCTTTTATCTCCTCAAAATTTCTTATAGTTATTCCGTCTCCACTGATGTTATCAGTTAATTCCTCATCTGAAACAAACATTTTGCAATATCAGTGTTGTTGTTCTCCTACCTGGTTATACAACCAGAAAATAGAATTTCTAACTTTTTTTTTTTTTTTTTTGAGACGGAGTCTCGCTTTGTCGCCCAGGCTGGAGTGCAGTGGCCGGATCTCAGCTCACTGCAAGCTCTGCCTCCCGGGTTTAGGCCATTCTCCTGCCTCAGCCTCCCGAGTAGCTGGGACCCAGGCGCCCGCCACCTCGCCCGGCTAGTTTTTTGTATTTTTTAGTAGAGACGGGGTTTCACCGGGTTAGCCAGGATGGTCTCGATCTCCTGACCTCGTGATCCGCCCGTTTCGGCCTCCCAAAGTGCTGGGATTACAGGCTTGAGCCACCGCACCCAGCCGGAATTTCTAACTTTTTAAAGTTTCTGTTCCATGCTGGACTGTTTAAGGAAATGGAAGCTTTTAAAAATGTTTTTATGTAACAGACAAAAAGTTTGCTGGTTGCAGCTCTGATGGGAATACAGTAGATAGTTGAAATGAATAGAACTAACAATTTCCTGCTATCAAAATATTGTTAGGTTTCCTGATGCTAAATAAGTACTATATTAAAAAGCAACAGAAAGAGTGATAGAAATACTGTTTATTCAATCAATGGGAAAAGGATTCCCTATTTAATAAATGGTGATGGGAAAACAGGCTAGCCATATGCAGAAAACTGAAACTTGATCCCTTCCTTACACCTTAGACAAAAATTAACTCAAGATGGATTAAAGACTTATAAACGTAATACCCAAAACCATAAAATCCCTAGAAGAAAACCTAGGCAATACCATTCAGGACATAGACATGGGCAAACACTTCATGACTAAAACACCAAAAGCAATGGCAACAAAATCCAAAATAGACAAATGGGATCTAATTAAACTAAAGAGCTTCTGCACAGCAAAAGAAAGTATCATCAGAGTGAACAGGCAATCTACTGAATAGAAGAAAATTTTTGCGATCTATCCATCTGACAAAGGGTTAATATCCAGAATTTACAAGGAACTTAAACAAATTCACAAGAAAAAAAACCCATCAAAAAGTGGGCAAAGGATATGAACAGATACTTCTCAAAAGAAGACATTTATGCAGCCAAAAAACATATGATAAAAAACTCATCATCACCGGTCATTAGGGAAACGCAAATCAAAGCCACAATGCGATACCATCTCATGCCAGTTAGAATGCCGATTATTAAAAAGTCAGGAAACGACAGATGCTGGAGAGGATGTGGAGAAATAGGAATGCTTTTACACTGTTGGTGGGAGTGTAAATTAGTTCAACCATTGTGGAAGACAATACAGTGATTCCTCAAGGATCTAGAACCAGAAATACCATTTGACCCAGCAATCCCATTACTGGGTATATACCCAAAGGATTATAAATCATTCTACTATAAAGACACATGTACATGTGTGTTTATTGTGGCACTGTTCACAATAGCAAAGACCTGAAACCAACCCAAATGCTCATCAATGATAGACTGGTTAAAAAAATGTGGCACATATACACCATGGAATACCATGCAGCCATAAAAAAGGATGAGTTCATGTCCTTTTCAGGGACATGGATGAAGCTGGAAACCATCATTCTCAGCAAACTAACACAGGAACAGAAAACCAAACACCACATGTTCTCACTTATAAGTGGGAATTAAACAATGAGAACACATGGGGAGGGGGACATCACACACTGGGGCCTGTTGCGGAGTGGGGGGCTTCTGGAGGGATAGCATTAGGAGAAATACCTAATGTTAGACGATGGGTTGATGGGTATAGCAAACCACCATGGCACATATATACCTATGTAACAAATCTGCAGGTTCTACACATGTATCCCAGAACTTAAAGTATAATAATAATTATATTAAAAAAATACTGTTCATTACCATCAGTCAATATCAGCTTAGCAACTATCTTTGATAACATTGTTTTGACTTTCAAAGTAATCACTATTACTTAACTACTAGGCTTAGTGGCATCTCAAAATGTGGCCCACATATCCTCATTCTTCTCAGTTTGGCCATCAGTTGAATACAATTCAGTTGGAAATTTCTATAAAAATAAGTAAATCTATAGGAAATGTATACAGATTAAGCAATATTACTAATACCTGGTTTGTGAGAAATTTCCTTCTTTTCTCTTTGACTAAGTTGTGAGATGTTGGCCAATTCTTTATTCATATTGTCAGTGGAATGAGAATCTATATCATGTATAGTCTCACTTTCCAGATGGTTTTGTCTCCTTTTTTCAACTTTAGTTGTTTCTATTACTTGAGAATGAACAACTATGGATAAAGGCTCATTTGAATAAATTATTTTTTTGTCTCTGTCAGTGTAATTCCTTTCAGCGTCACAATTCTTTGCTACCTCTTCCACAATATGTGTATCTGCTTGTTTCATTAAAAAAGTTGGTTCTCTGGGAATATAATCCTGTGGCTTTTTGAATAGCTCCACATGGTTAGTCAACTTTGAAACCTCATGTGTCGAAAGTGTTCTCATACAAGCCAGGGAATTTTGCTCAGGATTGCCATGTGAGTGATCAAAAGAAGGTCCAAATATGCATTGTTCATAATTTGCAACATGTTCAGAAATAACTGCATTATCTGAATGAGAAAAATTAACAGCTTCCTGTTCTGGAAGTGTGGTTAGGCTGACTGCTTGTAACTCATTTTCCTGTGAAAAATGATCTTCAGAAACTAAAAACTGTTGAAAATCCTTTTCTCTTCTATTTGTTAAATTCTCCTTAAAATTACAGTGTTTTTTGCAGCCTGTAGAACACATCACCTTTTTAGATGTTATAGCCTTCTCAGAGGTACAGCAATCATCATCATCATTATCAGAATTTCCCTTTACAAAGGATAGGAAAGAATTTTCCCATTTGTTAAATCTCTCATCTTTTTGGACCAAGTTACTGTTTTCATAAGATTTGTAAAGTACATGGTGTTGTTCCTGGAGAGTGTGAGGCTGCTTATCTGTAGTAACTAGTGGTAACGTGATTTCTTTATGTAATGAAAGTCCTGGGAAAGAAACAACTTCAGTTTGGTCAATGGATTCTAATTCCAAGCATTGAACTTCTTGACTATCTGATAAATCCAGGTTCTGGATGTGTGTCTCTTTGGAAACCGAACAAGCCTCAGTACTATTATCTAATCCATTTTTCAGGCTTGACAGAGTTAAGCTGGAAGGTTCACACGATTCTTCTGGAAGGTCATTAAGGGTTTCTAGAACACACTGCTGATAGGTAACCAATCTGTTTATTCTCCTGGAAGGAGAGACAGCTAGTGTCTTTCTTGGATTACAGTCTACATCATCTACTTGAGTCCTTTTACGTTGTGTTTTTCTTCTTCCTATACCTTTTGGCACATTTGTGTTGGGATCTTTGACATTATGGAGATTGCCCTTTCTGAGTCCTGTAGAGTATATCTGGTTAAGAGTTGATTGTTTATGCTTGGATTTACCAAATTTTGTGTTTTGGGGATCTTTTTGGTAATGTTCATATACATCTTCTTTATTTATAAATAAACTCTCTTTGCTTCCTTTATTAACTTTTACATGTTCCAGCTTCTGTCTGTTGGAATTTTCATTATAAACATGCCAAATGTGACTTTTAGAACTGAATTTTGGTTTCTATAGAAAAAAATATATAGTTAGCTTTAAATTTCAGCTGTAGTACTATATCAACTCAATCTGGATTATTGATAAATCAACTATTATTTGATTCAAACTATTATTTCTAATTCAATCTAACCACAGATCCTGCTGGGATATAGCCAACCTGATATTTGGGAAACACAGACTAATAGAAGAAAGGCAAATGTAATAGAGTTAGACTCTGCATGTATACTAATCTTTATTTTCTACTGTAGATTTTAATTCCTTCTTGCCAGTATTTTAGCACTACTAATCTTATTAAACATAATAAAAAAGTTTAATCTACTTAATTTGTATAGGCTTTTAAAGTAATCAGATCAAAGTTTCCTTTACAAGGAAACTCTGTGCTGGTGTACATCTTCTGTGTCTAGTGGGTTGGCGCTATTCCTTTGAGCTGTAAACAAAAAGAGAAAATCAAAGAAAGCAGATTCCAGTAGTCAGACTCTAAACTTTACAACGAAGCTTCACACAGATGCTTTAGAAACACTTTCCTCTTCCAATTGTTATATAGGCAGAGCTAGAATTAGGGGTTTCTTCTTCTGGTATCTGGGAGAACTATGGGATAGAAGCAGAAAAACTGACTTAAAAACAGGAAGACAGATATGCTCTTCAACTGGTCTGTATGAAAAAATTATTATGGGCTGCTAAGATTAAAACAGGAACACAGCTTCCTCTCATTCACCATAATTCAAGTACCAGATGAAGAGTAACTGCCCACCATGTAAAGTTTGAAGGGATAGGCTAATACCTTTGACTCCTTCCTGTACTATGCTTAGGCCACAGGAAATTAGACATGGTTGATAAACCTTAGGCTCCATAAAGAGGAGGAGGAAGGAAATGATTACCAATATATTAGTGTGCCCAGATATGCTACAAACTAACAGCCCAGAACCCTCTGATTCTCATGCAATTATTCTAGTGTCTTAAAAGCAAATGTGAAGTCACTATTACCAAAGCTTCAGCAGTCTTTCTCTTCCCTTTGATAATCTATAAAACAACCAGAAGTTATATCCCTATAAAAATGTTTATTACTAAACATAGATATACCTTGTGTTGGTATACATCCTCTATGTCTAGTGGGTCAATGCTACTCCTTTGAGCTGTGAACAAAAAGAGAAAATCAATGAAAACAGCTTATAGTGGTTAGACTTTAGACTTCTAAAACCCACCAGTCCTTTGCCATGAGAAAACCAAGTGGAATAAGTGAAATTATGCAAACATTTTATATTAAAATTGGCACATACAACATTCCTATAACTCTCATATTAGAAATCAAATACTATCTTAAGAGAGCTAAAACATTTATATAGGGAAAGCAAAACAGATCTAACAAAATAACTAATACTAAAGATTGGCACTAAACTCAGTATTTATTTTCCCCACAGATATATCCAGATATGACCTCTTCATTCAATAGATTATGTAACTGTGTGCAAGCTACTTTTATAAAGTGAAAAATTATTTTATAATTAATTAGATTATCATCTCCTAATATGTCTGCTTAATAAGGTCCTAACTGAATGCTGCATTCCCTTCAAAGTAAAACATACACAGATGGAAAAGGCCAATCATCTTATGAATGTACAGGGCGAAAAAGATTATTTTTAAAAAGGCTAAGTTGATAATAAAAGGAATTATTTTAGTGTCTCTTTCATAGCCTTCTTTACATACTGAAAGTAGCATTAAAGTTATCTATATATGCATTTGGCTACAAAAGATAAAAACCTAGAAACAATGACTTACACACAGGAAATATTCAAAGAATATTTGACAGAGGAAGGAATAAATTAATGAACATCTTAGATGTGATACATAACACAAATTTCCCTAAATATAAGCTAGAAATGTAAAATATTTTAATGAGGATGTAATTCGAAAACAGAGCAATTTATTTCTTGGGGACAATTTTCATGATAGCAATCAAATTATGAGCTGCATAATGAAGTCTGACATTGATTCATTCATGTTGTACAGGTGAAAAAAGTCAAACATAATGTCCTTTTACCAAGCAAAAAGGTGCTATTCCTTTGGAGCACCGTCACTGGGGACTCACTCCAGAGTTTCAGTCTTGATACTCATCTGCTTACCAGCTGGCTGACCTTGAGCAAATTTCTTAATGTCTCTGCCTCCATTAAATGCCCATAAATGAAAGCCAATAATAGTTTCAACCTTATAGAATGGTGAAGATTAAATTATATAATCCATGTAAAGTGTTTACATGAATACTAGGTATAGAGAAAGTGCTCCATTATTATTGTTATCATTTTCTAAGAGCAAAAGGACACTATACCTTCTCCAAACTTTTGATCTTAAATAAAAGAGTAGAAAAATCATATTTTCCAGAAACCACCCTGCAAGGGACATGGTTCCTAAGAGAATCTGGAAGGAAGAACAGGGCTTTATTTTCTCTCAGTTTTAAGACTTTACATTCCCTAATACAACCAACTTAATACCCAGGTATAAATTCTGAGGTGGTGAAATTTGGTGATATTTTCCCTCTGCCACTCTGAGTTCCCATAAGGTACTGGGTACTGTGTTGAGATATTTACATATATTAACTTCAGTAGTCACATTAACAATCCTATAGGTAAACAGAGGCATAGATATTATAAACCCAAGTTTACAGATAAGAAAATTAGAAATGTTAATTCACCCTATAAGCTTTATAGCCTTTGAGGCTATAAAGTTAGGACTGAACCTTGTCCTACATCAAAGTAGATATAAGTTTTCTAGCTTAAACTTTAAGCTAGAAAAGCAGCAAATATATTTTATATGAAGAAAGTTCTTTATTCATCATTCCCATACTTGAAAGCTCTCCATCTGGAATTTAAAAATGAATATTTTCTTTATTTAAGTGAAATAATATCCTCTATTTACATACAAATATTCTTCATGAACCTAATTTTGCATTCATATTGAAAAGTAGGCTGATAATTAATCCTGGAATTTGAAAGTTCAAACTTAAGAAATATTCAAACCATCTGGTGAAGCATGATAATGCAACACATCAACCCATCTTAGTAAATTCTCTCACAAAGGAAGAGTGGGAGCTTAGTACCATGGAGAAATGTTTGGAATTCCTTTACATGAAATAAAGTTCACTGGGTAGGAATAGATTAAAAGTGGGCACTGGCCAACAGGGGATTCTGGATTTGGAGAAAGGACTAGAATGCTGTAGCAAGCATTCCCAGAAGAGCAAAACAATGTATGTTGTAATTATTTAAAATAGAGAAATCAAGCAGTTAAGCAGATTATCAAAGCAATAATTTAAAAATACACTTTTGCCTCCAACTTAATAGTTTATTTGCAATTTTCCATATAGCTTAAAATGTTAATATGATTGTTTTAATAATTTATCTCAATGTGCTTTTACAGACCTGGCTTCAACAAGTTACTGTCTGTCTCATTTCTCATGCAATTTGGCTACTCGGAAGGAAGTCTTTTGCTCTAATGAACCACTAATTAATTACTCCTGATAGCCTTCAATTATCAATGAAGTTTTCTCTTTACTATAAAAGTAGAATATTTTGATCCAGGACTTAGTTCTTAGTCAATAGCATTCAGACAACTGCATTTCTTGATCAAGTATATTATTTATAAAATAAGTGGCCATAAAATAATAAATAGATCCATTAACCCTAAAGAAAAACTAGTCTCATGACTGGTTGTTAGATTGCTCTAAACTAAATTTCTGTAACTTTACTGATGTGACAAATAGTTATAACAGGGCAGTTTAATCTTACCTGATGTCAGGCATTTTTGATGTTTAGGGATATATCTCTCAAGGAGACGCTTCATACATAAATCCTTGGCCTCATCCAAAGCACATTTTCCATCATCATTTCTAAATAATGGATCAGCTCCATTCAAAAGAAGTAACTCTGCCACCTAGAAAAAGGTTGCTTATATAAGGGAACCCAGATTGAGGGTATATTACTCTAAATGTGTGCTAGCAGACAACTCTAAGTAACATCAAATATATCTTTCGAAAACACAGTTTAGATTTATCTATAAAGCCTTGTCCAATAAAAAAAGAATTAAGGTAGTTGCTACTGATTTTAATTCATTGATACATGAGTTTCTTCTCAATAAAAAAAAACTAAAGGAAGAATGAAAGGGAGAAAGAAAAAAAAAGGTGGGAAGAGAAGAAAGGGAGAAGGAGGTAAGGGGGATGGAAGGTGGGAAAGCAGGCAGGCAGAAAGACAGGAGGCAAGAAAGGCTGAGGTAGAAATGTTGGTGGCTCAGCCACTAGTGAAATGAAGTTAGCAAATACACAAATAATTAGTACTGGGCTCTATAATAGTAAATACAATTTTAACAGGTTCCAGGAGATAATTACATCTTCCATCTATACCTGTGCTGCTGCTGCTGCTCCTCAGACTGTTGGGGAAAAAATGATTAATCTGTTACTACTGTTACTACTTCTCAAACAGCCTCCTCTATGCAGCTCTCCCTGAGCTCTCCCAATGTCTCACCACCTGCTGCTGCCCAGGGAAAAACGACTTCTCCTTCCTTTCACACACATATTACTGCCCAATATACTCTATATTATGCTTATTTCTTTCATATCAGTCTCTCCTAATGTACTCTAACTTTCTTGAGGGTGGGACTATGTTTTTCTTTCTAAAAATAATTTATTATTTTTCAGCAGGAAATTAATGAATATGGTTCAAAATACAGAAGGCTCAGACAAAAATACAATGCAAAATAAGTTTCTCTCCTTAACCCCTGTACTATTATTTTTTCCTGAGTCAGCCCTGGTTAGTTTATTCTGAATTTTTCCAGCAATAGTCTAGTCTAATAGGTATATATATATGTATGTATACATAATATGTGTATACATATTTTTCTTACACAAATGGTCATATATTATATACACTCTGTATTTTGCCTTCTTTCCCCCACCCTCCCAACAAGTCCTTGGAAACTGTTCCATATCAGTGTAGACTACACTTCCTCATTCTTTTCAGCAGCTAAGTAATAGTATACTATATGAACGTACTATAATTTATTTCACCAGTACCCTATTAATGGATGTTTAAGTTGCTTCAAAGCTTTTACTACAGATATATGTCTTCATATTCCCAGAGACTATCTTAGTGTCTTACGTGAAGTAAATACTAAAAAGTATTGTTTAGTAAAAGAATGAATGTAGGGCAGGAAGGATATGGTGAGTAGGCTTTAAAGTAACATTATACTAAAAGAAGCCTAAATGTCCATGTTAATGTATGGAATGAGAGGAAGGATATAAATTTCTATATAGTATATGTACCTAAAAATTAAAGGTACATATATATTTCCTTTTATAATAAAGCATCCTAGTCTACTAAAATAGTTTGAATCTTTCTCTCTTACCTTTGGTATTATCTAGTTTGTGCCATTCACAAACACAACAGCTACACTTTCCTCATCTTCCTACAATAAAATGATTAGCACAAATCTATATTATGTCAGTTTTTTTTGTTTTTTTTTTTTTTTGAGACAGTCTCCCTCTGTTGCCCAGGCTGGAGTTCAGTGGCATGATCTTGGCTCACTGCAAACTGTCTCCCACGTTCAATCGATTCTTGTGCCTTAGCCTCCCAGGTAGCTGGGAAAAGGTGTGCACCACCACGCCTGGCTAATTTTTGTATTTTTAGTAGAAACAGGGTTTCACCTTGTTGGCCAGGCTGGTCTTGAACTTCTAACCTCAAGTGATCCACTCGCCTTGGCCTCCCAAAATGTTGAGATTACAGGTGTGAGCCACTGCATCTGGCCACTGTGTCAGGCTTTTAAAGAAGACATATATCTCTCTTTTGAGATAATAACTAGATGGTCTCAGGTATACAACATCTCTTTTGAAACTACTTTTTAATCACTTCGTACTCTGAGGTGTGTATATATGTATGTGTGCATGTTCTTTTAGTGTTAATTCATGTTTAATTTTAACATGTTAATTCATGCTTAAAATCATAAACGCAATATTCGTACATTGCAAAAAAAGTTAAAAATTACAGAAAGGTATTAAATGGAAAGTCAAGGTCCCTCCCACACTTATTGTGGTAGGCTGGAAATGCCCCCTCATCCACCCTAACCAAAAGATACCCATGTCTTCATCTCTAGAACTTGTAAATGTCAACTTTATTTGGAAAAAAGATCTTTGCAAATATGATTAAGTTAAGGATTTTGAGATTAGGGGCTTATCTTCAATTATCTCACTGAGCTTTAAATACCATCACAGGTATCCTTAAGAAAGAGGCTGAACAGGATTTCACATGTACACACAGAGGAAAAGGTGATGTGAAGTCAAGGAAGAGGTTGAAGTGATGCAGCCAAAATCAAGGAAGGCCAGTGGCCACTAGAAGCTGAAAGAGGCAAGTAACAGATTATCCTCTGGAGGGAGTCAAGCCCCACTGGTATCTTGATTTTAGCCCAGTGATTCTGATTTTGGACTTCTAGTCTCTACAGCCGTGAGAGAATAAATTTCTGTTGCTTTAAGCCACCCAGTTTGTGCTGGGTTATAGCAGTCATAGGAAACCTATACAGATTTGGGTACCAGAAAGTGGGGTGCTATTGTAACAAATACCTAAAAATGTAGAAGTGGCTTTGGAACTGGAAAGCCTGGATTGTCTTGAACAGACATCTGTAGAAATGTGGATGTTAAAGATCCTACCAGTGAGGGCTCAGGAGGAGCACATTAGAGAGAACCTGTGTCATCTTAGATAATGCATATATCATCATAAACAGAATGTTGGTGAAAAAATGAACATTAAAGGCATTATTGGCAAGGGCTCAGAAGGAAATATAGAACATGTTTTTAGAAGCTGGAGGAAAGACATTCCTTGCTATATAATACCAGAAAGCCTAGATGTGTCCTGCAAGTTGTGTAAAAGCAGAACTTATAAGTGCTAAACTTAGAGGTTTAGCTGAGGTGATTTCCAAGTGAAGCACTGAGAGTGCAACCTGGTTTCTTCTTAGGCATTATAGTAAAATGTGAGAAGAAAAAGATAAATTGAAGAAAGAACTGTTAGGCAAAAAGGATGATTTGGGAAATTCTGTCCATCAAGATTGGAAAAGATGGTAAAACTTGGAGATTCCTGTAAGAAAAGTGTGCTTTGTAGAGAAGACCAAGGGCATAGCTGGAAAACCTTTGTTAATGCTGAAAAGAGTAGGAATATGACTCACGGACCCATTCAACCATCTCAGCAGAAGCCAGAAATATAGGTGGGCCTGTGGAAAGATCTGTGAAAGATCCTGTTGTCTAATGGCATGAATCCCTGTGACACACATGGTAAACTCACAAGGTTTTTTGAAAATGCTCTGTCTCAGAAACACTTAGACTGCATCTTAGACTGAAAGAGACAGAATGAAATGAAGAACTGCCAAGATTTTAGAGACAGTAAATAGGATAATGAAACTACTCACCTGAAAATGTATGCTACCCTTTAAAAGAAAAGAAAAGAAAAGAAAAGCTAACACCAAGAACAGAAAGTTAGCAATGAGTGAAGAGTAACAGATGGCTGTGATATAATAGAGGTAGACTAGTCAGAAGCTTAGGAGATTAGCAAATAGATAGTCAAAGAAAGCCTGGCTAAAACTATAGTCCATCTTAGTGGTCCAGAAGAATGCTATGCATATCCAAGGCAATGTCCTTTAAGGAGATGCTGGAGAGGAAACTTCTGAGTTACTGGTCCCTGGCTAAATGTAGGCCAAACTCAAAACTCCCTGAAGAATGAACATAGTCTGTAAGCCACACCAGATCCAACAGTAAAATGTAAAAACCTTTCTGATACAGGAAGATTAAACACAACCTCTAACCAATCAATAATTGACCACTAAATGGTCTTGAAACAAGGGTATTCTGTTGGAAACCAGGATAAAGATAAAAACAAGAAAAAAACAATTTTGCAAACAGGGTCACAAGGTTGCACATGGTGAGAGAAATAGACTTCACAATCTATCAAACAAAGAAGCAACCCAAGTTGGGTATGTGAGTCAGGGGGACTCAGCATCCAGAGTTGCTATAATAGATTATCTTAAATGTCCAATTTTGGCTGGATGTAGTGGCTTATGCCTGTCCCAGCGCTTTGGGAGGCCAAGGCAGTAAGATGACTTGAGGCCAGCAGTTCTAAACCAGCCTAGGTAACACAAGCAAGATTCTATCTCTACAAAAAATAAAAGTAAAAATAATTTTTTAAAAAGCTGGGTGTGGTGGTGCATGCCTATTGTCACAACCACTCAGGAAGCTAAGGCAGGAGGATCACCTGTGCCCAAAAATTCGAGGCTGCAGTGAGCTATGATCACATCACTTCACTGCACTCCAGCCTGGGCAACAGAGTGAGATTCTGTCTCAAGAGAGACAGAGAGAGCGAGAAGGAGAGAAGAAGAGACATGAAAAGAAACACTAAAGTATGACCCATACACAGGATAAAAAGCAGTCATAGGAACTGCTTTGAGAGGACCTATATTTGCAGAAAAACACTCTAAAACAGCTATTACAAATATGTTCAAAGAGCTGATGAAAGCCATGTTTAAATAATTAAGAAAAAACATGGTGATAATGATTTATAAAATAGAGAATGTTAATAAGCAGAAAGTTTTTAAAAAATCAAATGGAAATTCTGGGATTCAAAAGTATAATAACTTCACCAGAGGCCTCAACAGAAAGTTTAAGCTGACAGAAAGACAGAATCAGTGAATTTGGAGAGACAGATTAATAAAGATTACACAATCAGAAGAATAGATTTTTAAAAGAATGAATAAAAATGAATAGAACATCAGAGAAATATGGGGCATGATTAAGCACAACAACATACACATTACAGGAGTTCCCAAAAGACAGGAGAGAGAAAAAGGAGCAGAAAAAAAAATATTCAAAGAAATAATAGCTGAAAACTTCCCAAATTTGATGC